TTGTTTTCAAGAATAATTTGATAAATATTATTTTAGTGTTTTTGGTAAAAACATTTTTGCATTTTGAAAAAAAAATGAAAAATTCAATAATGATTTTTTTTACAATCATAACAATGAGCGGCAATATTCATCTTATTGTAAATATATTTATTACTTATCATAAATTAAAAAACAATTTGCATAAAACATGTTTCAATAAATATTTAAACGAAAACAACACTATGTTTAATATAAAAAGGTACAAATCAAAAATTTATTATTTGAAAATCTAGGATATATATTAAAAACTGTGATATAAAATACATTTAGAAATGCTTATAATTAATTTAATTTATTTTTATAGGCAACAAACATCGAAAATATCATTTGTACAATCTGTTTATTTTGTTTTGAAAAATGCTCTTAAAAATACTTATTATAATTTGAGACATTATATTTCAAAACAAAACAAATGTAATAAAATAATTATGAATTAAAATCGTTATATTTTTGATAATTAAAATATGATAACGATGATTATATTATTACGATTTTATCTATCAGACATATTCTTAAAATAATAACAACTTTAATTTGTAACTTATTATGTCAAGTAACATTGTTTTGCAATATTTATTGAATAATTATGACATAAAACGCATATTTTTACTCGACAATATTTCTTTTATTATATGAAAATAATGTATATTTGAAATAAGTACAAAAACAGTTATAAATATAACTTACATACAATTTATGATTTTTTTTCACTACATCAATTGATAAGAATAGTCGTTAATTTTAAAATGATATATGGTAGTAAATGATAATCAATGATTTTAAACAAAAAATTCCAATCGTTTTTATAATGTGCGTCATATTATAATATAATTTGTTTGTCGAATCTAAAATAAAAATTATTTTTATTTAGTTTTCACTTATATTAACGTATCAGCTTCATGAAATAATAATATTTTCTCATCAAACATGTTTATATTTATTAAAAAACAAAAGTAACATTTGATTTTTTTTTTCAAAAAAATAATTTGATGATATTGGTTATTGTTGTATTTTTTTGTTCTTTTTTGTTTTTTATTCATTTTTATAACATTAATTGCAATAATAATTACATGTTGGCAAAAATCAAACTTTATAATTAAATTAAAATTGATGAAAATGCAAAATGTTATTACTTTTTTGGTTTTAATAAAAATGTTATTTAAAATATAGGGATCTTTAAGATCGTAAATTGGAGAAATATTTTACCAATTTTTTCTCTTTTTTGGTAAACAGGAAAATGGATATTACTTCATCCCTACTCTACTGTATAAAATTGTAGATTTTTAAAACAATTTTTTATTTTAAATAAGTTTGAGTTTTGTTCATTTTTAATTCAATTACAGTTTAACATTTTTAACACATTATAAGACATAATAAAGCATTATACAACCATTTTATCAACATTATATGGGTTAAAAAACATTATTATGTTGACCTTTTAAATTAAGTCCACTCTTATCAATTCACTATTGGTTTGTTTGTATAGTAAAGTATATACCATGGCGATTTCAAAGATGAATTCATAACTTTCATTTCCATTATTTTTTATCTAAGT